GTTTTTCGTGCTGAACCGCCTCACATACGTAAATATTCGAAGCAGCTTGTTGTAGTTGTTGACATGTTTATGCTCTGCAACGATGTCGTGTTGTTGTTCTGTCAGCAATACTACCCGCTGTTTGCGTTGTTCTGGCAGATTTAAACGAATATCGTATGATAAATTGGGCCAGTTCTCGTGCGGCATTTTTAGAAACGAGGGCCCATGGAACCACTGTTGGTTATTCCTGATCTCTTCCACAGTTGCACCGCGAGAAACAAGGTCGGCAGGGTTGAGCTTCGAGGGCACGTAATGCCATGTATAGTGTGCGGTGAGCTGCTGAATTTTTGAAACGCGATTGGCCACAAAGACGGTCCACCTGGACGGCTCACCGCGAATTCAGCACAGGGCGATTGTTGAGTCAGTCCAACAATGAATGAGCTCTGACTCAATTGTGCATATGTTCACCACAGATTGAAGGAGTTCTGCTAGCAACATTGTAGCGCACAGTTCCAAGCGGGGTAAACTCACTTCTTTCTTAGGCGCCACACGGGACTTGGCACACACCAACGATGACACTGCTTCTCGAGAGGATCGGGTAACCATGTAAATGCAAGCGCCGTAAGCCCTCGAGCTAGCATCTGCAAAAGCAAGGTTTTCAGTAGTAGCGTTAATTGGAACGTACCTTGGAATCTGAATGTTGTCGATCCGATTTAGTTGTTGATGGAAGTTACGCCATTGTGTGTAGACATTTTGTGGCACGCTTTCATCCCAGTCTAGTTTAAGCTCCCACAATTGTTGCATGAGTAGTTTGCACGAGACGATAAGAGGGTTGAGAAGACCTAGCGGATCAAAAAAGCTGGCTATTTGCGACAATATGGACCTCTTGGTTGCCTTCGACTGCGACGAACGATTGTTGTAGCTGAAGATAAAAATATCTTCTACTGGTGACCATTTTAATCCAAGAGTTTTCACGTATTCGGAATCGCCTAGTTTTACGCTCTTTTCCCTGTCTTCTTGGGGTACGTCCTCTATGACGTGCATATGGTTCGACGCAAATTTGCGTAGCGGGAAACCACCACTGCTGAGGAGCGACGTGACTTGTTGTTTTATGGCGATAACTTCGTTGACCGTTGACGCACCAGTCATTAAGTTGTCGACATAAAAGTCCTTCAGTGTGACGGCAGCCCCAATTGGAAAGCGGGAAGACTCATCTCTGGCAAGTTGAAGTAGGCATTTAGTCGCCAGGTATGGCGCGCAGCTGGTGCCATAAGTTACCGTTTGAAGTTTGTACACCTTCGGTTGGATTTCGGGTGAGCTTCTCCACACTATGCACTGCCAAGGCGTATCAGCTTCGTGCACTAGTACCTGACGGTACATCTTGGCGATGTCGGCCATGAGCACATATTTATGACTACGAAAGCGAATTAGTATGGTAAAGATGTCGTCCTGCAGAGTGGGACCAAAACGAAGTATTTCGTTTAAGCTCTTTCCCGACGTTGTACGGCACGATGCATCAAAGACGACGCGAAACTTCGTGGTGCTACTGTCTGCTCTCATCACACAGTGATGCGGGATGAATTAGCGCCCTTTCGTGTTGCTCTCAAGTTCAGTCATGTGTTTCATGGACTCGTACTCACCCATGAACTCAGAATATTGCTTCAACAACGACGGATTGCGTGCGAATTTATACTCTAGACCGAGCAACCTTTTAAGGGCAGTCTCGTATGAATGGCCTAGCGTCTGTGGATCTTCCTTTAATGGCAAGCGCACGATGAATTTATTGGTGACAGGGCATCTTGTGGTTGTGGCTTCGAAAAACTTCTCGCAGGCCCTTTCTTCCGCTGACAAAAACCTTGAAGACTCGTTGTAGCTTTCGAGAGTCCAGAATTTTTCGAGCAGATGATCAAGTTGAGGATGATTGCTAACAGCTATGAATGATTTGTACAACGAAAACGGTAACGACGAGGCTGTATGCAATGATGATGGTGACGAAGACGATAATGGCGGGGCTATTCCAGACACAATCCATCCCAGCTTAGTTTTTTGGAGTACAGAAGAGGTGTTGGGAAGCTTGATCTGGCCCACCAGCAAAAGGTCGAAAAACATGCCTGCACCAATGAGGCAATCAATGCCACCAGGTTTGTGAAATGTGCTATCAGCTAGTGTGATGTTTCTTGGAAATTTCCATGAGTCGAAGTTGATGTGATTGGCTGGCTGATGTGACGTTATTGATGGCAGAATCATAGCTTCGATGCTCGTAGCAAAGGCGGTGTGAAGTGACTTCAGCTCTACAGAACACATCTGCTGAGTTTTTTTTTGTAGCTGTGCCGATGCCTATTACCTCGATACTACGCTTGGAACGAGGTAGGCGAAGATGCTGCGCAATGTGTTCTGTTACGAAGTTTAGCTGCGAGCCCGAGTCTAGCAGAACACGAGCGATGACTGAGGAGCCCGCAGAATTAAATAGCCGAACGAGGGCGGTGGCGAGAATGACTTCGCCTGTGCATTTGACGGCTTGAAGCGCTGTTTGTTTGCTGTCTGCATTTTTGTTGTTTGCTGACTTATCTTCGCCGTATGTCCTATGCAGTAAAGTATGGTGACTCACCTTGCAGTGCTGGCATCTACGAAGAGACGGGCATGCACTAGAGTAATGGTTCCTACCAAGGCAGTTAAGACATAAATGCAGCCGTTTTGCTCGAAGATATCGCTCGACAGGGTCCATCTTCATGAATGGCTCGCAGTTGAATGGACTGTGGTATGGGCTGGCATCGCATAGTACACATTTTGTTGTAGCTGCTGTGGTTACAAAGGCGTGCTGATTCTTCTTCGGTAGTGGTTTTTTAGTGGATAGAGTCTTGACACATTGAGTTGCCTCCAGCATGTTGAAAGTCTGGCAACGGCTTTCTAAGAATGTGGCGAGATCGGCCCATGTTGGCATCCGCAGTTGTGATAACTGAGAGGGATTCCACTTGGCGGATACCTCCTCTTCCCACCGTGTAAGCGTGGGTGCATCTAGCTTTTTCGACACTAAGTACAACAAAATTCCATCACCTATTTGCTGGGCTGTGGCCAATGACTGCATTGCGCGAAGATTTACGTTAACGATGTCGATGAAATTACGAAGGGCTGGTACTGTCGCTGACGATAGTGGTGGGATGTCACAAATCTGCTGCATGTGCGCTTGAAAAATGAGGCGGCTGTTGTTGAACCGAGCAACGATAAGTTCCAACGCAACCTTATAATTGACACTGGTCACCTCGAGTGACTGAATCAGCCGCGATGCCTTGTCTGTTAAGCACGAACGCAGATACTGGAATTTTTCAACATCGGACAGATCTTTGTTGTTGTGGACAAGAGTTGTAAAAGTCCAACCAATCACGCTGTTCTCCGCTGAAGCGCGTCAATTGAAGTTTTGGCAAGTTAATGCGGCCAGTTTGTTTGCGCTCGTTGCAAATATGCGTGCTGCTGAACTGCTGCGGACTTTCCATGGCTTGTAGTGTGGCCATGCGGTCGGTGAGTGCTGCCTTTGCTTGGATATACGACTGTTCAAAGGCAGCCCGATGGTCTTCCTCTAGCTGCGACTCATCAAGCATCTCCAGTTGAGTTTGCAGTTCTTCAAGTGCGTTGTAGTGGCGCTCCACTAAGGCCAATTTGACTTCCAGCTGGCGCAGTGGCTGAGGGCCGTCGATGCCAATGTGCCAAGATTGCAAACGTGCCAGCAAATTTGCACGCTGCTTAACTTTAACACGTACATTGCGAGCTGCTGCTTCAGCAACGGCGCTACTGGCAAGCGATGAACCGGCTTCCGATGAGTTGTCCGACGACGTCATTTGGAGGTTACGTACCGTGTCCCGATGAAACATAAAGTTGATGATGGTGGATCTGAGCCTAATCCGGCTCGAAGGACCTTGGTGATTTGTAGAGCTTTTTCTACAAATTTTGATCTCCAAAAAACCCAGAAAACGTAAAACGCAGAAATGTTTCTTGGGTGGACTGTATTTACTTTATTAAAACTTGATCAAAGTTAATTTACTTTCTTATACAACTGCAATTACACGACTGTTTGCAATGAAGGTCAAAATCGAATGATCTTTCAGTAGCTGTTCTTTTACATTTCTTACCTATGCCTATTTAAGTATGTATGTAAATATGTATGCATGTACATATGTACGTATATGTATAAAAATATGTATATTTAGTTAGACTGCTTTTACACAGTTCAAGTATTGAATTCAATTCTGCTCGCTTGTGGAAGAGAGGGGGTGAGAAGAAAAGGGACGAGTACACATGCGTCTGTACCGTCAAGTCGTTTCAACTTTCTTGCTTTGCTTTTGCCATTTTCGTTGCTTCCCATTTAAAGAACCACAAACTTGAATTCAACAGAATTGAAACGTGTAAAAGCAAGTAGAAAACACAAAAGAGAATGAGCAAGAATTGCTTTCAAGTACTTGAATCATGTAAATCGGGTGTTAGTGCTGCAGCACTAAGGTGACAAAAATTTGCGAAGTGGGTGACGAAAATAGTTGGTGAGTATAAACGTTATTGGAGCTCCAGCGAAGACAAAGACAATGACGAAGCTGACGTTGGCGGCGGCCGCGGCTGCGGCTGCTCCAGCGATGCAATGTTGGAAGCGATATTTATGTTCAAAGAGTGCATGTGAGTGTTATTGCACATAGCGACAGCGAAGAATTTGAGTAGGCATAGGCGACGATGATTTTCTTTGTTGGGGGGGCGCGAACATACTCCCGCCCTTGAAAGCTTGTGCTTTCAATGAATTTCGTCAGCAGGTGGAGTGTCGGTGGGAAGCTTACAAACGCGAGCGATGGCCCGTTTGTATATGCCATCTGATGTTTTAACTTCCACTACTCTCACCATGTTGTCGTCTCCAGGAATAACTTTAGTGACTCTACCGATGGGTCATTTGAGCGGGGGCGTTGTATCTTCCTTCAGGAGCACCAAGTCGTTCACGGATAAGTTCGGGAAAGCTGTATTCCACTTTGTACGCCGCTGTAGCTCCTTTAAGTAGTCCTGATGCCAGCGCTGCCAGAACTGCTGCTGTATGGTACATACGATTTGGTAACGTTTCAGAGCGCTAATTGTCTCGGACGTTGGCGTAGGTTCGAGTACAGTGGTCAACGTTCGATGTACCAAAAAATGACCTGGTGTTAGTGGCCGAAGATCATTAGGATCCGAGGAAATTGGAGTCAACGGGCGGTTGTTTACCACTGCTTCTGCTTGGCAAACGACGGTGTGTAGTTCGTCGTGTGATAAAATGTGCAAACCGATAGCACGATGAAGGTGATTCTTCGCAAGCTTCACCGCGCTTTCCCATAGGCCCCCAAAGTGAGGGGACCTTGGCGGAATGAACCTCAACTCTATGCCTTCGTTCCTGCAAAACTGTTCAACGCACTTTATGTGCTCTTGACCAATGAAGGATTTCAATAGTTCACGCAATTCACGATTTGCGCCGACAAAGTTGGTGGCGTTGTCGGACACGATGGCTCGACACTTCCCTCGGCGAGCTATGAACCGCTTAAGAGCTGCAATGAACGCTGCCGTTGATAAGTCGGGCACCAGTTCGAAATGTACCGCCTTGGTGGTGAAGCATATGAAGACGGCTATGTAGGTTTTTATCGGAGTTCGCCCTCTGATTTTTTGGGTGACTAGAAAGGGGCCACAATAATCGACTCCAGTCGTTTCAAATGGATAGGATGCAATGATGCGCGATGCAGGAAGGGATCCCATAATCTGTTCGGCTACAATTGGACGGAGAC